TGGAGAAAGGGCTAGCCATTATTATTTCAAATATTTTCTCCTTTCTTTTTTTCCTTCTTCTGATATTCTTATGTAGCTGCCCCAAAGTTCCTAGATACACTATTGTATTCTTTTTTTTTTTTTTTCATTTTTTTTTCTCTTTACATTTCTGTTTTAGACATTCCTGTCATGATGTCTGGAGCTCAGAAGTTCTTCCCTTCACCATGTCCTGTCTCCTATGAGCCTGTCAAAGGCATCTGTGAGTCTGTTAGTGCTTTTGAATAACAGCGCTCCTAGGGCTCTTTCTTAGAATATCCATCGTACTGCTTTCACTGCCATCTGCTCTCTCTGCTGTGTATCCATGAAGCCTGAAACATTTTTACTGTGACTGTTTTAAATTCCCAGTCTTAGATTTTGGTCAACCTGGTAGAAAGACTTGCCTTCGCTCCTGACATCCAGACAAGTTATTCTGCACACAAGGAGTGACTGTAAACAGCCATTAGTGGCTAGTGGTCGGGAGTATAGGGTGGGGTTCTGGAGTCCTGTGACAGTCTTGGCTGTGATCCCTGCACTTCTCAATACCCCATTTTTCATTGGTGGCCAGGGTGGCTGGAGCTGACTGTTGGGGTAGCTTGGTTAGTTCCAGTTAACTCACAGGTTATGCTCTGGTTAGCCAGTCTCCCCATGCAGATCCCTGAGGAAGAGCAGGGTTTTCTGGCATGTGGAGGTGGCTTATTTTCTGCCCCCACTGATGCAGGTAGGTTTCCCCAGATATTCCCTGCAGGACCAGAAGGCCTCCTGGAGGTGAAGCTCATGAAGGCTGGCCCTGTGTCTGGGTTGCCTTAGACCCCTACTCTTCTGACTGCCCCTGCTGCTTCCTCACTTGGGGTGCAGATCCCTGGGTACCCTCCCAGGCTCTGTTTCCTCCTCACCTAGCAGCAGCTGCAGTGGTAAGCAGAGGTTTACCCTGTCACCCTATTCTGCCATAGGTCTGAGAAGCTTGGTTGGTTTTCAGCTTGTTAAGCTTTTTACCTGCATTGGGGTGGAGTGGCAACTTTTAGGTGCCAGGTGGGAAGCAGGAAGCACCCACCTCCTCTGATGGAATAGTGACTGCGTGTGTGTGTGTGTGTGTGTGTGTGTGTGTGTGTGTGTGCACAAGCCAGGTGGAGTCCTCTGTAACTAAAGCCCCAGTCAGAGCCCTGGTGCCTGTTTCACCTCATCTATCCTCCTACTGAGAAATATTTGTACTTTTAATTTTTAATTTTTACCTTACTGCAGAGATCTGCAGTGACTTGTCAGGCTGGGTGCTTTTGTTTCTGTCCCTTGCCCCAGCCTGTGTCAACCAGTTTTCTCTATACTGAAGCAAAGTAAAATTTTGACATTTGATTTTTCAACTTTCTTAAAGAGTTCAAAGTTACAAGTGAAAATATAGAGCATCATCCAGAAACACAAGAAAATCTTAGGCCTTTTGTTTCCTTTTTGTATTTGTTTTCCAGTTTGTGAGACAATTCTACTATGAAACTGATTGGTATTCATTGTAGAATGTTTGGCAAATAGAAAAGGGCACAAAAATTAAAAATAAAAGTGTCTGACTACTTCCTCACCTGCAGTTACCTGTCATACAAATTTTGGCATATATGTTTTCACACTGTTTCTAGGTTTGTATTTTAAAAATTTTTAACCAAAAATAAGGCCAGATTTGTAAAATAATGATGTGTTCACTTAATGAATGCTGTGCAGTTGGCTTTGCACCTTAATTTTTCATTGAAAAATAATTGAGCTCCGTGTAGGAAGGTGCTGCGTGTGCTCATGTGCATGTGTGTGGAGCACCTGCACCCTGGCAGTCTGTAGGAGAAACTTGATGATAGTGGGGTGCTAAGCTGAAAAGCAGAAAGCAAGCCCGGGACTGGCATTTTATGTTCAGTGTGAACATTTCCCTGTTACACTGTTGTTTCGCCTCAATGCCATTTTGAGAGATGGAGCCTACCCCATGGAGTGGGCAGTGCCGCCACGCAGAGCATTTAACCAATCCCCTCGGCACTTGGCATTAGCTTTCCTGGACTTTAACAACACTGGAAGGAACATCCTCAGAGTCAACTCTTGTGCACACTTGGGTCTTGGTTGTCCCTAGACATAGTGCATTCAGGTCGGGCCTGATGAAAGAGGAATCTTCTTGTTGAAAATCCTCCCTGTGATTGAGTCTCTGTTTAACAGCAGTTTTCTTTCTTCTTCTGAGTTCCCTGATTTTTGTCTTTGGCTTATTTTTCCTTTAAAATATTTGTCTTTTTTCCCCATTGTTGTTTAAAGTCTTTGTGGAACAGGGATATGAAGCCTTTATTCTTCGCGCACCCTGCAAGTATTTTTCTAGTTCGGCTTTTTGTTCTGTGTCTGCTGTTTTAACATAGGTTTCAGTTTTCCTTCAACCAAATCTTTGTTGTATTTTTCAAGGTACTTTCCCCAGTTCAAAATTAAGCATCTATTCATTTTTCTTCTTCAATAACCAAGCTTCTTTAAGTATATCTAATCCTTATAGGACTAGTTTTAGCAAATCCACAGGACTGTTTTTTAATGATTAGACAATTTTAGTCACACTTTCTGATTATTGATGGTATCTGGGAAAGCCAATAATTTTTATGAATTTATTTTAGAATTGGCAGCCATTTTCAAATTCTTATTCTAATTTTTGGTTTCTACTTTGTTTTTGTAGGTAGAAAATTATGTACTCATCTTTCCAATATTTACATTTCGTTATTTTCTGTTTCTTTGGCTTTAGTTTCTAGAACAGCATTAGATAATAGTATGGATTTCTGATTTTCTAAGATAAAAATTTATCTACCATTATCTTCTTTTTAATTTTATATAAGTAACTTACTTTTCCCTCTGCATGACCAGTGAGGCATGGTCTGACCTGGGCGGGCCTCCTGCTGGGACCAGGTGGGTATGTGCACTGCAGTTTAATGGTGACCCTTGGGCATACATAAGCCAGCCTCCGTGCAGTCTTGAGGGTGCCAGGGAAGCCTGTGCTCCTCACCTGAAAGGAGCCCTGGGACACGTCTCCCACCTGTGTGAGGCGGCGCCTACAGGCGGCTCAGCATTTCTTGTCCTATAGTATTTACTGGAAGAGGCACAGCAGTGTCTGTTATGACAGGACACTTAAGGAATGTGATTGCATTGCTAGGTGACTCTGTAGTGGTTATGTGACTGTCAGAGTGTGGACTTACTCAGCCTCGATGGCATAGCTGTCACACACTGAGGATTTGCAGAGCAGGATATGGCACAGCTGGGTGTCCCTAGGCCCACAATGACAGCATCAGATCAGATCAAGAGCAAGCAAAAGGGAAGGGGATCAAGAGATGGAGGGAGAGTATGGTGCAGGGAGTGAGAAGAATGAAAGTGTGCCATGTTCACCTACAACTCGTCAGTGAGGGGGATCACTGTGTACTGTGCAAGCAGTTATAGTACCAATAAAACAGCAAGAGGAGATACTGTAGTTGAGTGAACCTGAGGTATGTGAGGCTGCCATAGTATCACGCTGCTGACACATGTGTCTTTACAGTAAAGTGCTCTTTGTAGGAGGAGGAGCACACTCTGAAATGATAGTAGTGCAGTGAATACTCAGACAGCACAGTTGCTCACTATCAAGCATCACGCACTGTCTGTGTTGTCCGTGCTGCACCTTCACCTGTTGGGTGGGTGGTGGGTGGATTCACACAGCCTCCCATGGACAGTTGAGTTATGCCTTGTGCCACAGTGTTGTAACAGCTACAAAGCCACCAGGGGTTTTTCCGTAATTTACAGAGCCACTGTCACAGGTCTGGCTCATCCTTGACTGGAGATCCTTGTGCAGGGTGCAACTGAATTCCAGAGTCTCTGATCTCCTTGTTACTTGCTGGTTATGAAAGCTGGGGATGGGAGTTGGGTGACACATCCTTGCCCTCTCCTCACCTCAGAGGGTTGGAGGAGACCTGGGGATGGTGCGGCACTGAGCCCCACAGCCTCTGCCCCATCATCCACCCCTCACCTTTGCAGAGCACCCCATTCTTCTCCCAGGAAAGTCCATTGCCCAACTTGGGATGTCCCCTCCTGACCTGGAGAGAGCTTCACGGGAGCAAGGCAGTTTCTGGGGAGGGCAGGTGGCACCTTGGATCTGACAAGATCCTTTGTGAGCTCCATGCATGGTAGAAGCCCAGTGGGCCAGCTGATCTTCAGCAGATGCCCAAGCACAAGTGACAGGTGGGCTTTGAGGGAGGTTGGCTTCAGACTGAGGGTACATGCTGGTTGCTGAAGGACATGTGGCCAGGAGGGTGGTGGGCAGCATCCTGTATGGGTACTGTTGTGCCTGAGTCGGGCACCTTGAGCTGGGAGGTGGGAACAGTTTCCTCTGGCACTTGCTACAGGTATGTCTCTGCTCCCAGCAACTCTGGCCACACCCTGGTTGGTCTCCATCTCTTCTGGGTTCTTCCTGTCACCTTGCACTCCCTGTCCTTTGTCTTCAGGGTTCCTGGACCCAGGACTTCACACCCAAGTGTTTCCTCTCATGTCCTGTCCATGGTCTCCAAGAGCTCTTCTCCCTTCCATGCATGTGCTTGCCATGTGCCGCTGTTCACATATGTTGCTTGTGTGCTGAATGTGCTGGGGAACTAAGGAGGAGGGGGTGCAAAGCTCTGTGGACTCATGGCTCTAAATCAGTCCACTTGGCTTGGATCACTTCTCCTTTTATTCTTCCATTGAGCCAGAAACAAAGCATGTTATTCTTAGCTGAATTTATTTTTATCCAATATGTTTTTCTTTCATTGCATAAATCACAGGAGCCTGTGTTTTAAAACTCCAACTATATTTTGAATTGTGAGGCTTCCCCTGCGGGAGCCTTTGAGGCTATGGTCATCCTTGTCAGAGCAAGACAGTGGGTGAAGGGAAGGCTGAGTGGACCCCACAGCTTCCTGGACCAACCCCTAGCCTCCAAGTCTAACCAGTCTCTTGTTGTCCTTTTGGGGTTGTCATCGTGGCTCTGGAATCTGCAGGATGAAGTTCTGACCGTGATCCGCCGTGTGGATGACAACTGGGCAGAGGGCATGCTGGGAGACCGGATTGGGATCTTCCCCCTGCTGTATGTGCAGGTGAGTCCTCACTTACATGCGGGTCACTGTGTCAGCCTGGGAGTCTTGTATGGGGGAGACAAGGGCCTCCACAGACCCCGAGGACCATGGTGGCCGTGGAGCTCCACTCGTATCTCCTGTGGCCTGCGAGAGTGGCTGTGGCCAGCATGAGCAGCCTCCCCCACATCCCACAGCCTTCCCTGTTCCCTCTCAGACTCCTGCACTGTGCTGTTTGCCTGAGAGGTCCCACATTCTGCTGTTCTAGCCCTCTAGCCCTGAGGTCAAGAGTGGCCCCAACCCTAGGCACATTTCGCACGATGCACGGGGCTGGCATAGGCCCTGTCATTCCTGTACTTTCTCCTGGCTTCTGCAGCTTGAGCCTGCATTGAGGTCCCTCGAGATTCCTTATCTCTCAACAGGAGGCACTCTGTTCCTAGGGGTCCCCTTAGGGCAGTGGTGGGGAAGGATCATCTGAAATGCTGTCCCCTTGGGCTATTTGTATGAGTGTCTGACCCAGGTGCGTGTGTTCTCTGTCTGTTAGAGCAAGTTCTCCTGCAGGCACTCTTTCATCCTGTCACCTTTGGTGTCATCCAGTACTAGCATCCTTTGAGCTGGGGCTCACTGAGGGCCAAGTGTTTCTCAGGACCTCTCTCATCTTTCGAAGAATGTGGCAACTGAGACTGATGGATACGCCCACTGCACAGATGAGCAGACAGAGGCCCCAGGAGTCTGGGGGTTTCCAGCCCCACAGCAAGTGGAGGCAGTGTTGGGGTTGAACACAGGCTGTGTGGCTCTAATTCACCCCTTCACTCTCCTGCCCACAGTCCACCAGCGCCTCCACTTAACTCAGCATCTCACTCAGTACGCGCAGAGTTCTTCCAGGGGCTGTGGGTGGCTGCAGATGTGTGTCAAATGCATAGCTGTGGCATGCAGGGCCCTCGGTCTCTCCTCAGCTTTTTCCTCTTCCCTCTTCCCTAAACATCTGGATGAGTGTTTTCCTCACATCTACCCTGGATAAGCTGTCCAGGGCATCCCAAGTCCCTCTCATGACAGCATCCACACACTGTGTCTAGGCCACTGGTAGGCATCTGTATCGCTGTGACAGCACCTAAAGAAATCAGCTCACAGGAGGAGAGGGTAGGTGAGGTAGCACTTGGGTAATCACAGCCACTGGGAGGTCAAGGCAGGTGGATCTTGCATTTGAAGATAGAGTGGGGGACTTAGGACCTTGTCTCAAAAAAAAAGGCTGAGTGGGGCAAAGCAACAGTAAGAGCACTCTCCTGGCAAGCACAGGCCCCGGGCTCAATCCCCACCACTGTTTAGGAAAAAAGGAAAGAGGAAACACTTGTTTTGGCTCACAGCGTCAGAGTTTCAGTCCATGGTCACTGGGCTTTGCTGCTTCTGGGCTGTGGAGAGGTTGAACATCACAGTGGAGAGTGTGTGGTAGAGCAAAGAGGCTCTTGGCAAACAGGAGGAGCAGGGAGGAGGTTCACGACACTGTCCCTAAGGGCTGTGGCGCCTATGACACACTTGCTTGAAGAAGCCCCCACCTACTGAGTTTGTCACATGCCATCAACGTCATCCTGTCATGAATCCAAGTGTATTAATCCACAGATGCAGTCGGAGAGCTCAAAATCCAGTCTCCACCCAGTGCTGTCGGCCGTGACCCGTCCCTGCTCCCGCACTTGTCCTCCAAGAGCCCCATGTGCGAACCCACAAGCCAGTGGGGGACACTTCAGATCCAGATCAGATCAGACCAGGTGCACACATCCCCTGTGTCAGGTACCCACACCTGCATGCCATTGCTGGAGCCTGCATCAGGCCAGGGATTCCTCTCCATCCTGCTGCTGGAGATGAGGACTTCACACACGAACACCAACCACAATGTACTCTAAAAGTCCTACATAGGACCCCCCAAATATTTTTAGGCAGTGAAACATTTTCTCAGGCAGAATCTCAAGGGATACTCAAAGAAGCATGAAGAAATGCTGATAGAGACTTGTTACTGTGGCCCAGATGGAAATGGTTTCAGTGTCCATGGAATGAAACAGCTGAGTACAGCTTAGCACTCCCTTACGGTGGGACAGTGTCCAGCAGTAGAAACAAACAAAACTGCTACTCTGAGAAGGCAGGATTAATATGCCAAAGCATCACCTCACATTCACCTGTGTGGGGCCCTGTAGTCCTCCTGACCTCACTGCGGACATGGGCTGTCCCGCAGCTCACCTGTGTAGGGATAAACTGTCCTCCTACTGTCCTCCTATGCCAAGTCTTTAAGTCTCAGTGCCATATGTCAGGTTTGTGGACAGGTGTGCAGCTGTGGTCACCAGGCGTTCAGCTGCCAACTCCCACGGACTCACACTGGGCCTCACCATACCTGAACTCCACTCCTGTGTGCCATCGGCCAGGGATGCCCAAGCCATGGTGAACCTGGTGAATGAGTTCATGCCCTGAGGACCTGCCTAGACCTGCTGAGTGGACACAGTAAGACAAGGGCCAGATGTGGCTGGAACGAATCTTTCCTTTGTTGTCGGCATCTCCTCTCAGCAAAGGCCAACCTTGTCCCCAGACTGTAGAATAATCCTCCAGTGCCCCATGTGGCCCCCAGGCACCAAAGCATCCACACCAGTGGTTGAGCGGCTGGCCCAAGGCCCTGACTCGTCCCTGTTCCCGGCCCTCCTCCTCTGGCCCTGTCTTGCTCTGTTTCCTGCCCCAGCCCGTGGCCCAGCACTGCCTCCTTGTTCCTCTCTCCTCTCAGTTTTGGGCATAGTCACCCTCCAGCGACCTTCCCTCCCAGAGACCAAGTGCACTCACCCAGCCACCAGATGACAGCCAGGCAGGTGCCCTTGCTATGACCTGGGATGACCTTGCCCTTTCCCACATGACACAGAGAGGGCAAGGCTGGGCACTCACCCTCGGGAATGCATCCAGGAAGGGACCAGAACTGGGCCTGGACAATCTGCAGGGCCTTCCTTCTGTGTCTTTGAGGGGCAGAGCAGCTCACCCACTGTCATTTCAGATTTTCAGAGCACTGTATTCTCATGATGTGAGGAGGAATCTGTATGAGGGAGTCCCTTCTTCCCGTGGGATGTCACAGTGACACCTGAGGTCAGGAATGTAGTGCTGCAGTGAAACCTTGGATTCCTCAGTCTGGGGCCTGTTCTGTCAGAAGAGTGCCCCCCTGAAGACTCCCATCTAGCCAGTCCCTTTCTGGAGAGCTCCCATATGGCCTGGGCAGGGCCAGCCCAGGACTTGTCCCTGAGCTGTAGTGGCCCAGTGGCAGGACCACAGGCTAGCAGATCAGGGAGGCCTGGGCATCACTGGTGCACAGCTGTGTGGCTATGGCCAGCTTCTTCGCCTCCCTAGCTCTCAAGAGACTCCTGTCCTGGCGGAATGGAACCCAGAGCCCTGGTGTGTTTTGAGAGTTCTGGGTTCAGGCCAGTGGAGAGATGGGGTGAGTGCTGGCTCTAGAGAGCAGGGCCGCCTCATCCCAAGGTGCTGGAACCATGTGGAGGTGGGCAGGGACTCCTGGCTTGAGAAGACGCCAGCCCTCTGTCCAATGTCCATGACTGTGGCTCTGGTTGGATGGTGTGTGGAAACTGTTGATGTGATCTGTGGATCCTGGACAAGATATGGACAGCAAAACTGAAATTCTGATTCAGCCCAATAAGTAAAATTCCTCTCCAAAGTGGGAGTTCCTAGTGATAAGTATTTCCCTTTTGACTCATCTTCAGCACAGATTGAAGATGTGTGGCATCTGCAGTTTGTTCTGAGCCTCCATCACCTTTGACCTTGACGTCAGCCTGCTGGGCTACATGGCGGCCTCTCACTTTACTTTTCATAGAGAGAACATTGTTTTGAATGTTCACAGCCTCTAACGTGCAGTTAGCCCACGTAGCAATAACTTACAGGTATGACTGACTGTTCCCCTGGGGACAGAAGAGCTTGTGGTTGCAGCTGTGTGTTTCCTGCTGTTGTGGATGCTGGCTCTGTGGGGTGGATTTACCATTGCACGGGGCCTGTCATTTCTTTAATCTTGCCCTGTTGGTTTCCAGACCCTGGACTGGGGCAGGGAGTGTTTACAAGGAGAAGATGAGTAGGGGTGTGTGTTAGTTGGGGTTCTGCCATCAATAGGGCACACAGAACTATGAGAGAGGAGAAAACTGGCTCATACACTGTGGCGCTGAGCAGGCCATCTGCAGGCGGGAAACCTGGGGTGCTGGTAGCACAGTACTGTCCAAGTCCAAAGCCACAGAGCAAGGAGCAGAGGTGGATCTCTCAGTGTGAGGCTGAGGACCTGGACCCTGAAGGTACAGAGGCTGGAGCCTCCTGCCTGAGGGCAGAGGAGGAGTGTCCCAGCTCTAGAGGGGATGGATGGAGGGCATATCTTCCCACTCAGCACGCCCACTCACAGGCCATCTCCCCGGAATGCCCCTCACATCACACCCAGGTGTGATGCTGCCAGTTCTACAGGTGTACCTCAGTCGTGTCGAGGCTGACCCGCACGGACTACGGCTGTGAGTACAGAAGCCCTTGCTCCCCTCCTGGGAGCTGTGTGCCAGTCTTACCCGCCTGCCTTAGCTAGACAGGTCTTGCCATTGGGCCCCACCTCAAATGTGGGCAGACATCATCCTCCAGAGCACTCAAGGCTGGCAGCCCTATGCCAGCTCAGCTCCCCAGAAGTCTTGGCAGGATGAGCAGGAGTCCTCGCCGTGCGACAGGCACACTCACTCAGGGCGAGAGGAGTTTGCACAGGCGTAAGCCGCACTCCTAGTTTCTGTTTGCTGTTGTCTCGGGTTAGAAGGGCAGCCAGAATGGAAGGTGTGCCGTCAGTGTGGGCCACAGTGGTCGTGTGAAGCAGTGTGAGAGGTGCTGTGTGAGAGACTCAGTATGTGAGACACAGGGGAACGCAGTGTGGGAAACAGCGTGAGACAGTGTGACTCAGTGTGCGAGGCTCAGCTGGCGTGTGAGACCCAGTGTGAGGCCCAGTGGCTTTGGAGGGGTGTCTCCCCCGCAGTCGG